CCTTTTAGCATGTATTGACCTAGTTTGGGGCAGATGGAGGCCGTCACCCTAAGATTTTATAAGTTCAAATTCACCTCCTAAAATTTTATAAATTCAAATTCGTCCCATTTAACCTAAAATGTTGCCCCTGTCCCTAGCTTTGAGTGATGTTGAACTTCGTGGTCCATGTAGATCACCCACACATGCATGAACACCATTATTGCATGCTTATCGTAAGCATGCATCGTGCATGACATGCACTTCTGCCTCCAAAAAATCCATATATTTAATATCTCGTGATTACATTTACAAATATCCATTTTTTCTTTTATTTTTATGAAGTACTTATTATTGATATACGTATATAATAAGTATTTATATATGTTTTCTATATATATATGGAGTATTGAATTTTTAAGTACACATACAGATTGAATACATTTTTATATGCCAATTTAAAAAAATGAAAATAATGATTTGATCAATAAATTTTTATTTATTATATTGATGCAGTATTCCGTGTGATAGTTTAACTCCATGTATACTTATTACCAGGGACGTGGCTAGGTTGTCGGGGTCCTGTACAAATTCTTATAAAGGGCCCCTTATTTTCTAGATATATTCGATTTCGGGGCAACAACAGTGACGTTGTTTTGACAAACGCCGCAATAGGTCCATCTATAGTAGCGTTTTTTAGTAAAAGCCTCAACAATAGTAGGCTTTTTTTTTGGAAAACGCCACAATAAATCCATATATAGTGGCGTTTATTGAAAAAACGCCACTATAGATAACTTTTTTGGGGGCCCTGTGCGGTCGCCCATCTCGCACCGCCCCAGTCACGACACTGCTTATTACTGACGTGGTACAATGTTAATAAAAGAAGTAGGTTTTAAAAATTAATTTGTTATAAAATAACATAAAATTCAATTTTATAGTCGAGTGACCATTTTGTAACTTTTAATAATCGGCTGACTCAACAAAACAACGTCTTATAGTTGAATGATCGTTTTATAATTTTTAATAGCAAGAAGACTCAACAAAATAATACGTTATTACCGGGGGACCATTTGTGTATTTTACCCTAAAATTTAACCAAAACAATAATTATTGAATTGATGAAAAGTAAAATATTGATGATTAAATTTATTAATATTTTTTTTTATAGAATTCTAAGTTTAATGTCAAATGGTGGAGTGTCACCTATAAACATATACTGACTTATACTCACTTTAAGTCACTCACTCCCGATTAATAAAAAAATATTTTTTTAAAAAAAAGAATGTATAAATTTAGGGAATATCAAACAATAAAGTAAAATAAACAAAGGGGTGGGTGTCCTAGAAAGGGGCAGCATTTAGTGGGTGTGGGGTCAAAATCTTAGGCTTCCCCATGTGAGCCTAACCATGACAACCCTTTTGTGGGGGACTTTAGGATATTATTCATTGATCTTTCCCCTTTATCCATGTTTTTGTTAGTTATTTACGGTTAGAATTTTACCCCCAATTTGTTAAGAGTTGGTAGAAAACGCTAATATTATGTCTGGTCGTTTATGTACAACGAGATAGATGATAGTTGTGGTGGTTTTTAACGATTCAGTCTAGGCCCGTAAACGAACCGAAAATTCAGCGAATTGTTCGTTTATGTTCGTGTTCATTCATTTGTTCGGTTAAAATTAAACGAACGAACATGAACATACCCCGTTCGAATTCATTCGGTTCGTTTACAGGCCTAATTGAGTCCTCATTATCTATAAGTTCTACTTAATTGGGAATTTTTTTTCTTTCAAAATATGGATAAGTTTTGTCATTTTCACTTAAATCTATGTGTGAATACAGAAAGCAAATGGGGTAATGCAAATTACATGTGGTAAGAAGAGAGTGTGTCCTACCAACCAAGCATTTGCACCTCAACAAGGCTCATCCATGGAAGCCCACAAGTACCTAACAACCAAGCACAAGAACATGGCTATATATATATATATATATTAATCCCTATTTTTCTTTATAAAAAGGAGTAAACTATGCATTTAGTACCTAAATTATTAGTTTTGATTTGTTTTAGTACCTAGACTTTCAATTTTTTCAAAACTATATCTAACTAGTTTTCATTTCATTTTAGTATCCTGTCGTTAAACACCTAACGCGTTTAGTACCTAAACTATCAATTTTGGTCCGTTTTAGTACATAAACTTTCAATTTTTTCAAAACTTAACGTTAAATTTTGAATGGGTACTAAAATGAAACAAAATCTAAACTTTAGGTATGATTTTTGAAAAAATGAAAGTTTAGGTACTAAACATATAATTTACCAAAAAAATTGGGGAAAATGAAAGGTCTTAGTGTAGCTATTTGGCAATTGGGATGGTCTCACATGCGAGTATGGCTGTCGACCTGCTATTACTCCCATGTGACTCATCAGCCATTGTTGTACCCTGCATTTCAGTATAATATCAAGTATTACACCTTCAATCAAATAACTAATAATTCATAACTAGATATATATATATATGTTTCATGTCAGTAAGATCAGTATTTTAAGATATGGGTCTGATATATGAATCATTAATTATGAAGTTAAGAATCAAATTATCTCGGATTTGAGTGTCAGCGTCGGATATAAATATATGTTATCTTAAAGTCGGAGCGACATAAAATCGAATAGATTCAAAGCCAGCATCAAATCTCAGTACCCTTTAGCAGTAGGCAAGAATCAAGATGTAATCTATTCTGTCTTTGCAAAACAACAATGGAAATCATGGGATAGCCATAGGTTCAATGAGTTGCATCAATGGTGGACCAAACAAATGCAAAAGCCAAGCAGTAATTAACCAAAAGATATAGAAATGGTTAAAAATGGTGGACCGTTTACCGGAACAACAAACAAACTTCATATACTGAAACCCCACAAGAACAAGGGAGCTATTTAATATGTGCATTACCAGCTGCCGACAAAGAACATTTGCTGATTGTCGATCACTGAGATGAATTATGCAAGTATGCAATCCCCAGCATTTATATCTATGTGCCCTTACCAAAACAAAAGAAAATCTACTTTCATTGCTATGGCTAATCTTTGTTGTTCAATTCATTCTTATGGTAAGTTTGTCACTTCATCCCTAATTCGAACATGGACATAAGTATATGACCCTCGAGATACAGAAAAAACAAAACACACATAATAAGCAAATGGGGTTAGTGCTAAGGTGTTTCTAAGTCGAAAAGATGATCCTATAGATGACAAATAGGCTCAAAAGGAGTAGAGAAATGGTAACCAGATAAGAACACAATGTGAGAGAGACTGCCTCTGTCTTTTTGTCGAGATTCGAGCCAGTTCGGACTGTTTCGTGAGATGTTCCCTTTCTTTAGCAGAGTTTTTGATGGGAAAACTGTGATGCAAATGGCTCATCATGATTGAGACAATGGCTGCCCCCCTTTGCCTGCCTTAACTCGAAAAATGTGGTTTAAAAATGGTATCTGCAAATTGCAGAAATCTAGCCATATTTTCAACTTCTGGCCCTATTATTATTTGTCTTTCCTGTGTCTTTTGACCAATAGTCAGTAGTACTAAAACAGTCTTGAAGTATTCAAGTTTGGAACAATAAAAGAGACTAATTGACATGAATAAAAGTTAAGTCAAAAGTTTATCAAAAACCTTAAAAAGATCGTGGTTTTTCTTTTAACGAGTCCTAAAGGTTTCGGTCTCCCTTCGAAAAGCTGAGCTAGCTCAAACAAGGGACTGTAACAGATAAAGCAGATATTGGAATTTAAAACTCATGCCTACTAAGCTTCAAGATTTTCTTTTTCCAGAAAAATGTATAATAGAATGTGCACACACTTGGTTTATATAGTCAAGGACCTTTCTTTTCCTTTCTAAGGTGGATCACACACACTGCTTGTAATGTACAAAAAGACCCCTTTTTTTATTTCTGATGTGGATTAATGCACACCATCTAATACCTACCTTCTTTAGAGTACCTCGTGTTACATTCTATCACTTAATCTCGTAATGCTCTCGTCAAGGATTATCTTTATATTTTTTTTCTACTACACCCTAGGGATTCAACGCAAAGTAACGATTTGTCCACCTTATCTACCCTACTCATGGAGATGCTCAACATGAAATCGAGTAAATAAAGATTGTTCTGAAAACATTTACCACAGATGATTACCTCCTCTTAAAAGAGGTCATTTTACTCTCATAAGTGGCTCATAAAATTTAGAGGAAAAAGACTAATACCTGCAGTAATTACTGATGAAGATTTAAAAGAAGGATGGATTCCATCAACATAATTCACTAGTCATTTCAGATATCTTATGGGAGATGCTATTAAGAATCCCCCAGGAACATATTATACCCTTCCAGTGTGCATGTTAAAGCTTGTACAACCCAGTCAAGATTTCAAATTGCAATTAACAAGACAGTGGCTTCCAAGTATCCTCCTGTAGTTTTTGCATCACTGGTAGTTCAGATAAAACGGCAGAAAAGCCAAAACATCTGTAACTTCACGTCAGGGTCGGTCTGACAAAATTTGTCGGAATGTTAGCTTCATGCAATAGTTTGCTTCTGATTTTATAAGAGAATTCCACGTCAAATTCATGTATTTCGTTCTACAAAACTAGAATACTGCATGTTAAGCACAACACTTTTTTTCTAGCGTAGCTACTTGGCTATCAAGAGAATGAGATAAAGGAGATATAATCTTAAATTTCCTCTTGATGAAAAGGTAAAATATTTATTTTAGTTGTAGCATTTCAAGCAAATAATGTCTGAAATACATTGCAGAAAGCCTTTCTTGGTTATCCAACCAATAACAATGGACTCGGGTCTTACTGGAGATTTGGAACATCCATCACAAATCACAAACAAGTAAAAATAATTTCAGTTAAGGGCTGAAGGCTGTTCATAAGATAAGTTAATTGAAATATAGTTGGAAATTCTCAAATTCCATTCTCACCATGCTTTGTTCCCCAACTTACTGGTTTAGCATGGAATAATTTCTCAACGAAAAATATCTGGTACCCTTTGACATCTTTCCTTCCCCACAGGATTGCCGATAAATACCTTCCATATTACCTGCTCAGCTTGTCACCAACGGATGTCAAGATGTAGCTGAAACAGAAACACAAAATGAAACAATAGATACAACAGGAAAAAAAAACAATATCAACCATTATACAGGAGTTGATGCGTTGATCATCAAGATTCTGAAGAAAATCCCAAAGTTTTTGTCAACAGCAACGGCCGTTTCTCCATCCTGATGACATCTTACTAAGAATCTTTGCAATGTGAAGAATGTATTAATACAGTTCAAGCCAGTCTATAAATTTTAGTACTTCCTTGGTCATTGGAAGTCTCAATTTATAGGCATTATGATCTCATTTCTTCCATTAATGATCTTTTACTGTAGAAAATGACAAGGATATCAAGCCTGAGTTCATGGAACTTTGATTACAAGGAGCTGGGGAATTATGTCCAATTGTTCTAGTCCATGTCATGGTTACCAATAAGAAAACCAACTTAATTCTGTGGAGATTTAAGGATTGGAGCTCAATACCTCCATACTCATGTTTGAATGCGTCCAACAAATATGTCGCATACGGATACTTTAAAGAGTTCGGATAACATAGCTCAATGGATCAAAGAGAATAAAATTGTACTTTAAAGAGTCCGGACTCAGGAATGAATCTTTAAGAAACTTGGCCTGTTAAGGCCGTTACTGCCTTAATGGTAGACCAGTGGCTCACCTGCTGCTAACCATATTGTCGGAGACCAGCAGTACTCACTTTTTATCAGTTTCCATTATCCATTTGGTGAGGGCAAGGCAAAATGTCAATGTATCCAAAATGCTGAACTCTATACATAATATATATATACACACACACACACATGTGAGTGTATGTAGATATGTATATATAAATGGAAACAACATGTTTCAAAGCAAGCAAACCAAGATTCGAACCAAACCCATATATTTTCTCATCCAATATTTCTCTGGCCATTCATGTCATGCTAGAACATATAATCACACATACATTAGATGCAATAGTAACAACTAAAAGCTCATTTACTTCAATAGGATTCTACAATAAACAAGGTAAAATCTTGCAGCTAAGAATCCAACATCCATTAATATTTATAAAAATCTACATTAGCAACACATTAGGCAAAGGATATTTATAAAATAAAAATAAAGACTAACACTGTAATAATGGACCATTCCAATCTCTATGTCTCAATGGTATTCCCAAGTCCAAACGAGAAATGTTCACGCACAGGCGAAAACTCCACTAATCCAATCTCCATTGCATATCCAGAAACAGGCAATTTCAACTCCCTCAACACACAAAAAGCCTCAGCAATTCTTGTTTTCGGAACTTGTTGAGCCACGGGACAATAGGGAATCCAAGAATCGACTTTGAAATCTTCTCCAACTTCAATCCCTTCCTTTTTGATTGCCTCGGATAACTGAGCCTGGAACTGTAGGATCGCCATTGTTGGAGCTGGTGAGAGAAAAAGAAGATTGTTTTCATTTGGGAAAGCCCCGATTGAAGAGAACGATAGAGCCAGAGGCTCTTGCTTTGAAGCGAAGGACTTCACGACGGATTCGAGCTTCGACGGGTCGAGAAAAGGGGTTGAAAAAAGGGAAATGTGAGGCCTCGACTCCATTTCGATTAACTGGGTGCTGATTTGACGACGAGCCAATACATTCCAAGCTTTCAAGACTTGGTTCTCGAGTGCTGGATCGAAGTAAAGCTCGATTGAAAATCCTTGTGACATTGAGAATCTTTTACGAAAACAAAAGGAACCCGGATCTTAAAAGGGAGATCTAAGGGTACCGAGACAACAAATTTGCAACTTACAGAAGAATTGGGGGTGACCCAGAAAAGGGGGAAATTCAAAACCCTAGAAAGAACATGAGGGAAATGAAAGATGTGCAGATTGGATTCAGTATGGTGAAGGGGAGGAAAAATGTGAAAAGGAAAGGGGTTTTAATGGTTTTCTCAAAGATGATAAAAGAGTCCAACTTTGAAAGGGGAGATTTTACTTTAGGTCCTCCAACTCTTTAAAGAAAAATCATTTAAGTCCTAAGAGTTTTCTAACGCCCTCAAATTTTTAATATTTTATCAAATTGTACCGAACGACACAAAAAAAAAGAGTAAACTACTCAAATGATCACTTAACTATAGGGTTATTGTCGAAACGATCAACATGTTTTCACTTTTGGTAGTATGACCATATAACTATTTAAGTGGTTTCAATGTAGCCACTTGCAGTTAAACACAAACAGTTTAGCTGACGTGGATCTCTGACCCGTCGTTAGTTAATAATAACCACATAAACTAAACCGTAATTAAATATATGAACATACTTAACCATTTCTAATATATAAATGAATAAATTTTAGTTTAAATTATTTTAGATCCCTGTCAATTTAGATTTAAGTAGAATTAAATTTTTATTCCCTTCAAATTTTTAGATTAAATATCTAATAAGTCCCTATTATTATAAATTTAGATAACTTATTCTTTTCAATATTAATTTTAACTTCGTCCCTACAATCGCACAATAAAAATATAATAACTATGATATTGAAAATACACATATATATGAAAAATCATATAAAAAATCACAAATAAAGAAGATAATGATAAACTGCGCATTTAGTATCTAAACTATCAGTTTTGATATGTTTTAATACCTAAACTTTGATTTTTTTTTTTCAAAACCATAACTAATGTTTTGTTTAGTTTAGTTTTAGTATATCACTATTAAAAACTTAACGGGTAATTTGCACGTGACACATTTTTATAGGTAAATTACATTATTCATCACTCAACTATTGTAACACCCCCAACCCGTATCCGACCCGGATACGAGTCCGAAGTGTCACATTGACTTTTCAAACCTTGACTCTTAAGAAAAAATCCCGGGAAATTTAAAACTTTATTTAAAACAAAATACAGACTTTATCAGAGTGCTCGTACTTAATGACTTATTACATGCCAACACTTTATACATAACCAAAAACATACTTTATCCAATATTTCTGATCTGATCTTTTGGTAAGGAAAACTGACCTGTCTTGCTCCGCATCCCTCCTTACTTTTCTCGAAACCTACGTGTGAAACAATCACACGCTAAGTCGAAGACTTAGTGAGGCATAACCACTTATAATGCACTTTAAAACATATATTGATACATGCATGTTCTGTTCTATCATGTTATAGAAATTCCAGGCATTTTTCATATCGTATAGAATCATATCAGATTAATCGCAGTAAATACATACATACACATAATTCATCATTCACATGTTATCACCTAATCACATACTTTTTTCAATCAAACACTATACACACAACATCATATCCTTTCTATAGCATTTATCATACCACTAACTTATATTTGTTCATATCTCTGGATTAGCCCATGTACATATGTGAGAACTATCGATATGTGAGTCTATAGAGGTTGTGCACTATGCTGTCACCACAGCTCGTATAAATGCACCGAAGTGCCCGTAGAATTGCTTAAGAATCATATACATATACTATGGATCAAGTATGTGTCTTTCAAGACTTCACACAGGTTCCAAAGGATATACATATGTCCTAAAGAACCGAATAAACCCTCGACTCTTGGCATGCCAACTATACCCCTAGCTCTCATGACACATAACATGGGCGTTATCATTTATTTCATTTCAAATATACACATACACTTGTAATTCACTTTCACATATCACGTATCACATATCTTCTTTTCATATGATCACATAGTCACGTAGTTCATTTACCCGTAGATCATTTCCATATAGTTCACATGTCACATATGTCATGTTTTCATATAATTTCTATCATTTCTCACCCAATCACCTTTATTCATATAAACATACTTATCATATCTTGTTCACATAAGATCATATACTTCATATAATATATCGAAACACCTAGAACACTTTCCCGTAGCTTATAGTCATAAGTTTTGTCTCGTAGCATATACTTGTTTTCACATATATATATTTCCTATCAATTCTTATACCATAACATAATTCCTTAACATACATAACATATCATGTAACATTATAATAGAAATACTTATAAGTCATATCACTTAGAGCACATATCTATACTTATAGTCACATTACTTATATCTTAATCTTATGCCTTCTCTTAGACCTATATATATTCACATGTTCAGGTAATCCACCATTTCATCACATAATTATGGATTCCTATAACTCATTTCATTTCATTTCATATCTATATATGTGTATATATATATCCTCAAGATTTATCCTAATATAAATCATATAGCACTCTTATAATTCATATTCATATTCATCTATGTCAGACTTATAAAACATCTCACTTTTATTATTTCTTTATGTATAATCTAATATGTTTACTTACTTCAATTTCATATAACTCGTATAATATTCTCATATAACTTCACAAATTTCTATCATTCAACCTATGTGTTATAGCTTTACTTAAACATATGAATCTTTCCCCTCTAGCTTATCTTATATGTTCATCTTATCATTTATGTTCAAATCTCCTAGTTAGTGTACTATTCTCACTTCATCCTATAGATCAATATTATCCCGCTTATTTCACTTATCATATAATCATATAATTATATTTTACCATGATCACATAGTTTACATCTCATCTAATTCATAACCTTTCTTATGTAATTACTTATACTTTATCATCTAACACATAAAAGAACAAATCGATCCATATAATCAAGCATACATACATGCATATTCACCTCATGTCTTTAATCATGCATTCATGTGTAACACTTCAGGAAAATAGACTCATCGCAAGTCTTATTCCCATCGCACATCATATACTATCGAATATGCACTCACCTGGCCTCACTAGTCAATTCCCATCTCTTATCGTTCCCTTGATTGATCTTACTTGCCAAACGTTCCGGAATTGCTTTATGCGTAGAATCTACATAAACGTACATTTCGAGATCATCATTAGATACCTACACCTTGCAATTGGATACTAGCAACTTAAACTAACTAATTAAACCCATATTCCCAATTTTCCTTTAGGGGGAATCGGTTCCCCTATGACATACTGGAAATTCATATTCGCTTGAAGGGGTATCGGTTCCCCTTGAATGGGTACCGATTCCCCCTTGCCCAGAAATCATATTTCAGCCCGAAAATCCTTCATTTTCAGCTCAACACATCATACTTCACTCCCTTTAATATTCCTAACTTTCATACACATATTTAAACTCATTTCTACTCCATAATCCCTTCTTTAAACTCAAAATTCTATCTTCCATATAAGATTCAAAAATCATACCAAAATTCCAATATGTTCTAATTCCAATTCTAACACTTCCTACCTCTTAATTTAATCCTTGACAAGTCAAATTCAACTTCACAATCTGTTAACTCCTTCCATATCAAAAATTCACTTAAAAACTTATTTTTCTTAATTTCTCATAACTTGTTAATCTTTGAGGTTTAAGCCCCCTAAAGCTTTCCTTAATCTTTCTTAATATCCCAAGAGTCAAAACAAGCTTTAAAACGAAAGAATTAACCAACTAAAATTAAACTTACCTTTATGAAGTAACCCACGGGAAGAAGAAGGAAGAAGAATGTAGATACTTCCTTACCCATCAGCTTATCTCTTTAAATAAGAGATAATTATCTTTTACATAAAAAGACCATAATACCCTTTCAATTCTTCCATAATTACCAAATAACCTTCAATATATATATATTCAAATAATCATTAATTCTTTCATTCTTCTACTTTAGTCACCAAATTCTGAAACTTTACAATTTGGTCACTAACCCGATATTGAGGATGTTACAAATCTCCCTCCTTTTTAAAAAAATTCGTCCTCGAATTTTTCACTGAACAACTTAGTAAGAACATATCTTCCAATGTTTTTATGTTGCTTCCTTTACTTAATCTTTCTTTCTCTTAGTTCTTCAACTACCTTTTTCCTTTATACATACTTATCATGTTACTTATCATATAACCAATAGCATCAGTTCTTATCACTCAAAATCCTTAATCAATCAAATTCTTTATCAATCTTTAATTACCTTATAACCATACCAAACTTGTATTTCGTCATCATTTGACCAAAACACAACTTTAAATCTTCTTCAACGTGATTAAATCTATACTTCAAGGAGTCAAACAATATTTTCACATCACCTTGCACACTTGTCTTATTTCTATAACAAAATTGTCCTCTGTACTTCCATAGTCATCGTATCTGATCCTTTAAATCAATCTCTTTCATTCTTATTCCTTATTCCTTATACATAAATCCTATATTTCCTTTCATGTTCCCATACTCTTGTCTTATCACTTATACTCATCTTTATGTACCAATCTTCATTGCATCCTCATTACTTTAATAACCCATTTCTTATACATAACTTTATTCTTTATCATTCTTATACTTGTATTTTCTTCCTGAAGATTCCATGCAAATACTTATCTCAGTTTCTACATCATAGCTATCTGCTCAGAATATACAATCATATTCAAATTCACATCATAATCAACTAACTCAACTTTACCTTTTCCTTCAATCTTATTATTCTATCACTTTTACTCTGACAGCTAGTCAATAATATATGTTCAATCTAGGGTACAAACCCTAATCCACCAAACACATACATCCTGTCAAATCGAAATTATCTTAAAAATTCACTTACTCAGCTTATCAATTTCACCTCTATTCTCTTATATCCCGAAATTTCTTTTATTCATACTCAACATTCTGACTTCCTGTATCCTATAATCTGATCATCGATATACATATTCTCAAACTCTTCTTATCAATCCTCAGCTTTATTTAAATATACCAATTCTTTTTCCTTTTTCCTTTACTATACCACCTTACTAGGATCCAAATATACAACTGTATCCAGATCCATTGCAGATCTGGTTATTATATCCTGAAA